CAATTCTTTCCAGCAGCGTAAAAGAAATAGTCTAGGTTGGCCTTTCTTCTTTCCTTAGGTTTTCATGAGAATTTCAAGGCTGGGAAAAAGGCAAAATGTTTTCACTTTGAGATAAAGAGACTTGTTAAGCGAAGAGCTGGACTAGCGTAGATGAAAGAAGTGACGTTACAGGTGGACGCAAGTGGAAGACACAGCAGCTGTGACCAGTGAGGAGCATCCATCTGAGCCCAGTGATTTCTTTATCTGTGAGCAAGATAAAGTACAGCCTCAAGACTAATGCAGAAAACGGATCTTCATGCAGAAAAACCCATTGTGCAATAAGATCATTTTGTCTTAGCAGAGTGTTCATAGAACCTAAAATTCTTAAACTCTAAGTTTGCCTTTGTTATGTGTTTTCCTTGCCAACAATTTCAGTATCTCAGGTAATATAGTTCTCTGTGCAATTTTGCAAACAGTTGTTTGTCACATTAATTTGTTAAATGTGTGAGAGAAAAAATTAGATATGTTCTTGTCCGCAATCAAGCCCTGAGTCAGAACTGAACTCAGGTCTGAGGATTTCTTGTATGTGCTTTCTCTACAAGCGTCAAACCTCAAATACCTAAAGCAGTCAGACAGCACAAGTGAATAAACAGACTGGGCAAATTAATTTTTTTTACTTCCAGAGTTTTTCTTTTAACTCATAATACTCTAGGGCTCGAATTCCATGACCCCTCTTATGACAGAGAGATGGGCATAAATAGCTCTCTACTACGAGTGAAATATTACTGCAGCCACGAGGAGAAATTGATGAAACTTGGCGTCTGTTGTTAGGTAGCGGTAGGGAGTAGCGGTGCCTCCTGCGAACTGAAGGGTGCAGGCTTGTCTGCAGGGATCACTCACCACTCGGCTCCAGCTGACTCTTGCTGACTCTTGCTGGAGGGGAGTATGGGTGGCCTGGTAGCTTCAAAAGAAACCAAAATCTGGATTTTAAGTGAAATCTCCAAATTTTAAAATACTGGCTCATTTTTTCAAAACATTATATTTCCCAAATAAAATACATCTGTGGGCCAGATGCCACCTCACACTACCCATGTTTGATCGGTGTGTTATACTGTATTGCATTTCTGTGTCTCCCATGTTCCAAAGGCAGATGCCAGGTTTATGAGGAAGGGCCAAAAACCCAACCCCAGCTATATACTGTAAGGTGGCCTTTTTCTCTTGACTTAGACAGGAAAGCCGTCGTGAAGAAGATCTGACTCCTTCCAGCTCAAGCTTCCTACCTACCCCAATAGTGCACAGACTCTTCTGCCCACTCCTACAACTGCCTGCTCTCAGAGCTGAAATCTGAGAAGATGGAGGCAGCGAGAAAATAATCACAGTTAGGCTAGCTCTGTCTATACATCTCTAAGGCAGCCACTTGGCAAATACGGTCATTGTGGTTAAACTGGTTATTTCATTGGAAAACAAGTAACCACTAATGGGATACTGTGTTCTTCTATACTGTGCTAAATGCATTAGAGAACCAAACATAAGAACTCCAGGCTTTTGAAACGAGTGCTCAGTTATTTGACAAACTGGCTTGTTCTTTGCTAGTCAGGATGGGTCTTCATACCAGATGTAATGAAAAACAAAAATATGCAGCTGACCATTTGAGATACTGTTCTCCTAACTGTTTTTACTCTCTTGGTGGTACCCTCCTCCTTTTGAACAGTAAATGTGATAAACTGAAATATACCAGACACTCACCACAACCTTTCCCGAAAAGCAGATTTTATTATCCCTGTTTCAGTTACAGGAGATGAGGCTCTGAGAGGTCAACTGACTTTTCCTCCATAACACAGAATATAAACATAGACCACGAATTGGAACCTAAGCCTGTCTGTTTCCAAAGTGTGTGTTCTTTCCACTAAACCACTGTTTTGAAATGTAGATTTCATTATTATTCAGATATGATGATGTCAGCATATCAGGAGATGTTGCCACTGAAAGGATAGTTTGTCACAGTTCTGAGAGCAGGGAGCAGGCCACGCCCTCCTGCACCTGGCCCTGGGCTGGCGAGAGCAGGAAATAGTGGTCCATGGAGGAGGGGATGGGGAGGTGGACTCTGGGTTAGTCAGTGTGCAGAAAGGACGTACTCACAGGTGAGTTGAGTCCTTTAGTTTCTCTAGAAATTGACTACCCTTGGGAGAGGCAGTCATCCCAGGGTTAATAAGACCCCAGATATCAGAGCATCAGAACTAGAAAAAATAAAAAGACATGATTAATATGACCACATTTCCTTTTCTGAGACTCAAAAGTTCAAAGTCATCCTTGACTCAGATTTTCTTCTATTCTGTAACTGGTTAATCACTAAATTTGTTCACTTTCTTTAAATGTAGCCCATTCATTTATACAAAAGGTCAGACACTGATATAGGTACTAGGGGGGCTGGGAAATAATGAGGCTCTTGATTTAAAATTGCTCAGAGTGTAGGGTAAAAGACTGACGGATCAACTAATGATTGTAAAGGAACTTGACAAATGCCACAACAGAGCAAGGACAGGGAGTATTTGTGCCTTGTGTTCCCAGTGTCAGCCTCTGGGCATGTCTCCACTTCCTGCTCTCGCTACCTGTTCACCTCCCTGTCCTGTGTGCCCTACCAGACTTATTTTCCTTAACTTTTTGCGTAACATTTTGCTCCCCAAATCAAAATTTCCTAAGGCCTTTAATTCAATAAAACTATAAGCAGTTCAACACTTCCCTGACTTTTATCACCTACTGTCTGTCCCTAAGCTCCTCATTCATTCACTATTCCCAACACATTCTTTATTCTCTGATTTAACAAACTGTGACCAAATTATGCCTTGCACAAATGGACACAAATGTAATGTGTGGTAAGTAAGTGCACCAAAAGTACATGGTGCTGTGCAAGCCTGTGGCATGCCTCCCTGTGGTTTGCCCATCCCACATTTGGTCAACGAAAGTTTATTGAGCATCTATAATATTCCAGACACAGGGCTTGACTTGTGTCCTTGTTGTCCGTCACCATGTGTGTTTCTCTATCTTCGTATCTTCACTCATCGCCATCTCCTTTCTGGCAGGCCTCACCTTCAACGCTCTCCTCCTCCAAACTGCCTGTTCTTGGCCTCCCAGCTGAAGCTGCACCTCACCCCACTGTAGTAGAATTGCCAAATTATTGACCTTTTACTTTGTGCTGCTATAGATTGTATGGGTTGCATTTACATACACATGCAATAGGAGGCTAGGCCCAGTGCTGATGCATTCATTAGGCATTCAGCAAGTATCGAATGAGCTAACTAACTGTGTTGATGCATGCACCTCACAGCAAGGTTCCACGCTTCCTCCTGGGAGCTCATTGAAATCCCCCTTCTCTGACCTCTTCAAGTACTTCCCATTGAAATTATCTTCAAATCAAGTAATGCCTTCCTGATGCAAACTCTTTAAGGTCTTGAATATGCCTCCTCACGGTAACCCAGAGCTGAACCTGTGGGAAATAAGCATTCAAAATCTGCATTTTTCTTCATTGTAATGAACAATTGCCATCATTTAATTTTGAAACATTCTGCAGAACGGTACAAATAGAATTCAACAAATTAGATTATACCTGGAAGTTTAATAAACAATATGGCGTGGTAGTTAAAAACAAGGACTTTAGATACAGAGAGAACTTGGTTAAAAGCAAAAAGATCTGTCACTTATTTATGTGCAACCCTGTGACTTTGTCTTTTACTCTGAGTTTTCTCATCACTTTAGTAAACAATAGTGTCTTTTCCATAGAGGTATTATAAGAATAAATGAGATAATGTATGTAAAAATCTTTAGCTTGGTATTAATGCATGACAAAAGAGTCAATAAATTTTAGGTAATAGTATTTATACTGTTGTTGGCATTATAGTAGACACTCTCTAAATTCCAGCAATCCTGTTTTTAAAGGAGCCTGAGGAAGGGGAAAGGAGGTAATCGAGGCCCAGAGAAGCTAAGTGACTTGCCAAAGTCACACAGCTAGTTAGTATCAGAGGCAGACCTCAAACCCAGTGTGGCTTCAGAACAGACTCTTTCTCTCCTTGCCTAGCCCTGGCTCTCAAGAAACATGCTCAGAGAGACTACCTCCAAGAGGCCAAAATAGCCAGTTGGTTCATAGTTTGAATGAAAATAAATCAGTCAGAATAGCTGTTTTGGAGTCCTAGAGACTCATGTAAACACTGAGAAAACACACAGATTAAGTTCAGGAACCCAAACACAGTGTTGGGTGTGTTCTGGCAAGCAGAGTAGCAGCTTGGGGAAGCATTTCTCTTCCTGATGCATGTTACATATTATTGTGTTTAAAGTCGCCAAGTGGATTAAGGGATAAAATTCAAGACATGGGATTTCAAGTAAAAAGAAGATAGCTGTCCACAGAGCTCAGGCACTTTGGTCCTGGGAGAGCCATGTTCCGATTTCCCATGTGATAGAACTTTTCAATCAGGAGTGGTTCTCTTGACAATTCTGGGGCATCTCTCTCCTTCCACCCCCGCCGTTTTTAAACTGAGACTTCCTCTTCATAGTCTCCTTCACTCAACTTCCCCATTAGTAAGATGGGGATTCCAAGTCTGACATTGTCCTGGGGTAACAGCCTGGATCGAGAGGGGAAATGGTGTGAGCGGAGGTCAGTGCTTTTACACCCGGGTCTCCACCATGTACCTCGAGTCACCTGTCCTCTCTTTTCACTCTGTCTGTCCTCACACCTCGTTCTTGGACCTGGCACTACCTGCTGCTGCTATACCAGTTTAGCCTTGAGAGTTTCATTTCCTGGTACTCTTCTCTTTAAACTTCTTTGTTCTGTAAATCCAAGAGGACAACAGTAGGTTAAGCAAAGCCGGCTTTCTGTAAGAGCTGGAACACTCTCACTGAGTTAGCATTTTAACATTCTTAGATCCTCTATGGACAAAGAGTTGAAAGGCTCAGGCATTTTAATATATCTTTTCTGGCTTAAATATAGACTGGGAAGACTATACGACTAACCCATCCCCTTTGTTTTTCAGATAGACCACATGGTGCAGGGCCATGCTGCCTTCCCTGAACTGCAAGCCAAGGCCACAGCTCGGTAACTGCTCCCTGTTCCCACTTTCCACGCCTGACTGTGTGGAGGGCACTTACTTTAGGCTGATGTGTGCTTTTCAGATCCTTCGGGGAATGAGAGTGGCTGGTAGGATTTGGTTCTAAGGCCAGATGATCTAGACCATACAAGTTCTCATTTTGAAAATGATCTAAGAGAATTAAAAAAAAATCTAGAGATCCCCACCCCGACCAAATATGGCAGGAACTGTGGGTGAGAAACTCTGATGTAGCAGAAGGAACATGGATATTGGAGTCAGATCCAGCTTTGCTTCTTACTAGGTGTGTAACCTTGAGCAAGTTATTCGACCTCTTTAAGACGGTCTCCTCATCTGTGAAGCCTAGAATACCAGCTGATATGGAGTGACTTCCAGGATATGTCATTAAGTGAAGAAAGTGGAGTGCAAAGGAGTGTTGGCAGTGTGCTCTTTTTCATGTAAAAAGAAGGTAGTATAAGAAAACGTGTGTGTTTACTCATTTGTGCAAAAGAAATACAGGAAAGTTAAACCAGAAACTGAGAGTGGTCACCTGCACTGGGTGGGCAGAAATGGAACCCTGAGAATGGGGGGGCAGGGGAAACGACGCTTTTCTGAGCACAGCTTTCTATTCAGCTGTAACTATTAGAACTGCAGCGATGCTTCATGTGCCCTGGAAAATAAATAGGTGGAAAATAGAGATAGATGATTGATTGATTGACTGATAGATAGATACTAGTATATATGTACATGGTGGACATGGGTAAAAGGAAACATAAAAAGTAAAATAATGAGCCTCTTGTATTAGCAATGAATACCATAATCACATTAAAGGGGTTTTGGTAAAGAAAAGAACTCAAGTAACTTTAGTAAAGGATATTTTGACAGTAGGCTATATAGTGACATATAAAATAACTGTACCTAAATATTATACTGCAAATACCAAATTTGTTATTTATAGATGTACATTTTAGGTATTGTGAAAATCCTTTATGTGTATACTACATTGAGTAAATAAATAAATATATTGTGGGCAATGAGGAACAGGTTTCTTACAGATAAGGAAAGAGGAAGGTTAGAATGAATACTAACAATACTAGGTGGAAATCAGAGGTATTATAATCAACTTGTGATTATTTATATATAATATTTACATCCAGAAATATGTATGTCTAGATTTAATATGTAATCCACTTGTGATTATATATATAATATTTATATCCACAAATATGTTTATATATGTTTATTTATGTATATATTTCTGGATGCAAATCAAACAGACACAGATGTGTAAATTCATGCCTGAGCATACATACTTTGTAGCCCAGCTCTCTCTACCCAGCTGCCGGAAGCAAAGACCCCCTGGTAGCAGTTTCAGTACCTTGCACCAGACCTTGGTGATGCATTCATGCATATATCTCTGTGAAGAGGGGCCATAGCTCTCGTCGGATTCTTGAAGGGCCCCAGCATTTGCAAACTGCTAATGCAAAGACGAGAGGACTGGACCTGGAGCACAGAGACCTAGGTTCGTGCGCAGCTCCAGCACACATCATGGTGTGAAACTCAGTGTGCACTGCAGAACGTGGAAGAGTGGTTATGAGAGAACTGACCTTGGGTAACTGAGAATTCGCTTTGAGTTTAGTGAGATAATGTGTTTGGCAAGGCTTTGTAAACTGTACTGTGTAACAATAACGATGACTACTACTTCTGCTACTATTACTAATGGTTATAAAAGGAGAGGAAATATTGGCCATGGTTGTCCTAGGGTTAAGCGGCAGATGGAAATGATGGTGGAGTAGTAAGAACACTGGACTAGAAATTCTGCAATTCTCATATCAGTTCTGCATAAATGTCTTGGTGACTCAGTTTCTTCACCCATAAAATCACAATAATACTGCCCTGCTTAATTCATTTCACACATGTTATATGGATGAAAGTAAATCCTGGAAATGCCAGTCTCTGAAGAGCTTAAAACTCAACAAAACCTAAGGCATAGTTATACAATGCAAGGAAATATTCAAAATTCTCAGAATGTTCTTCTATAGATGAACCTCACGTGACTAGTTTTTACTGAAAATAAGAAAGAAGGATTTATGGCTGAGCATGTAGACTCAGAGAAACAGCACCGTAACAGCCATTGGTACAATTCAGTTTTGGAGTCAGAACTGGATTTAAACCCCAACCCTTTCCACTTGCTAATTGATCTCCTACCCCTTTCCAAATACCTCCCTGCATTTCTCCCCTTTGGAGCTAAGTTTCACCAAAGCATTGCCTATACTCTGTCACTATTTCCTCACTTTGAACTCCCCCTTGCCCACTGCAGTTTGAATTCTGTCACCATCAATCCCTGAAACATTTGTCATTAAGGTCCTGGGCGACCTCTGAAAAGCTTCTGGGTGTCATCCAGTCCATTAGAGCTCTTAGCAGTATGTGGCACCAGGAATCTTCTTGCTGTCCTTTATAACACTCTCTTTTCTTGACTTTCTGGAATGTCAGCCTCTCCCAGTTTTTTCTTCTGTCTCTGACTCCTTAATCTGCTTTTCAAGTTCATGGTCTGTTTCTCACAATAACATCAAAGTTCATCACAGCTGGGTTCCTGCCCCTCTTCTCTCTTCACCCTCATTTCCAAGGTGATCCCATCCATACTCTTAGCTTTATTTCTTCCTATGATTCTAGGGTTCTCAAACTTTTTTCTCTAGCCCATCTATTGAATATGTATTTAATAAATGTTGGTTCTCTCTACTCTTTCTTCCATTGCTTCACAGAGTTCGTCGATATCAGATCTAGGAATATTCCAAGACTACAGGACCCCATTGTCCTTCAGGTCTTAGAAAGAAATAGGCATGGGTATTATTATTAAACTGAAGCAGGATACTTGGAAAGGACACCCGTGGAATCAGGAACCATGTACCTCTTTGGGTGTGATTTCAGGCTCTCTGAAAACTGTCATGTAGGCCACCTCTGTCTTAGAGCTTAGCATCAGCAAATCCTATTTGAAACTGTAGAAACAAGTGTCGATAAACAGATTTAGTAGTTCACGCTCTTGATTTACCATAATCCTTTTAGACAAGACATCCCTAAAGAGAAATGTCTCGTGAGCTTATAAATTAAGTAAACACCAGCTAAATGTGCCTGTGCATGTAACTGGGAATGAAAGTCTCTCAGGTATTTCACCGCTTAGCCAGAGATTGCCTTGCACTGTTCGTAACTTCAGCTCTTTCCCTCTAAATTAATTATTGTTTTAATTCTCTTAGAGAACCTTGACCGCCGATGTCTCAGAAATGAGGCTCTAGTGACGGCAGGGTTTGGTGGGAAGATGTTGGCATAATCCATAGGACTGGATTCCAGGTTGGCGGCAGAGCCAAGGTTAAAATCCGTTCTTCTGTCTGTCTGCTGAGAATCTTGAGGGAATTTATAACACAAAAGTGAACAAAGCACAAAAATAGTCCCTATTTTGTTACCGGTGATGTGGGCAGTGAAATGGCACCAGTTGTTACTGGTGAAGTGGCACCTTGGTTCTTCACTTTGGGAAAGAAAGAATTCAGAGACAGGAACTCAAATGATAAGAGAAGGTTTATCAGGGAAGTCACAGAGGTAGTAGAGGTGAGTCAGCTGGGTTGTGTGGGCTCGGAAACAAGTTACAGAAGCAAAAGGAGGGCCCTTGGAGCTTATGAGAGAAAGGGGCAAAGGCAGCATTCCCGCTGGGAAGGAGAGGAAGGGGAGGAAAAGGTACAGGTGTGCTCCAGAGAGAGGGCCCAGGGGAAAGGAGAAGGGAAGGCCAGAGGGTGCTTCCGGGAGGGAGAGGGCCTCCTGGCTCCTCCATCTTGAGGGTTTCAGAGGCTAGGAGTTTAGGGGAGGTCTTAGGGCAATGTCCCAATAGAATATTCATCAGCTTTATGTTAATATGCTAAAATGAAATTTACTCCCTTAACTTTAGACATTTTGGGGTGTGGTTGGCACAGATGGCACTAACCAGATTTCTGCTCTTAATCTCTTGGAGCAGGGTGATTTAAGATATTTACCCTGGTTGAGAAGTGTAAACCATTTACTCATTTACTCTTAAGTGTCATTGGTTAAGGAAGATAGAATTTTATGATTTGTTAGATAGATGTTAGAACTGCTTGGCCATTTAACTGTCTGTCTGTTTCCCTGTCCCATGGGTCCTGGCTCACTAGGAGGACGTCCAACCACTAAACTGTCCCCCTTTACCAGAAATTACACACATACACACAGGGACACACACACATACGTGTGTGTATAGAGAAAGAGAGAATGAGTACATATCCGAACACCAGGAATTGATAAGCATTTCAGAGAAAAATAGAGATGCATAAGGATGCATAGAATGAGAGTGTTGGGTGGTGGATGGGAGCTATTTTAGGCGGGGAAGCCATCCTTGATGAGGTGACACTTGAAGACAACCGTGAATAAAGAGTGGAACCAAACCGTGGTTGTAGAGGGCAGAGCCTGCAGTCCTAAGGAACAGAAAGGCCAAGGCCCTGATCAGCTCCAGGACACTGGAAAGGCCGCTGCAGCTGGACCGAAGTTGGGAGAGAGCAGGAAACAGGTGAGGGCAGGAAGTTAGCCCAAGGTCAAACCACGTGCATCATCACAGATGATCGGAAGGACACTGGATTTTATTCAGGTTTTTAGTGTTGGAGCAGGGGAAAGGCATGACTAGATTTACCTTTTTTTTTTTTTTTTTAGAAAAACAAAACTTTTTTTGATAGTAGCAAATCTTATTTTATTTTATTTTTTTTGTTCTTTTTAAAATTTTTTTATTTTATTGATTATGCCATTACAGTTGTTCTATTCCCCTCCTTCATTCCCCTCCACCCTGCACCCCCTCACCCCCACCATTCTCCCCTTTAGTTTATGACCATGTGTCTCAGGTTCTTTAGGTTCTATATTTCCCATACTATTCTTGCCCTCCTCCTATCTATTTTCTACCTACCGTCTATGCTACCTATTTTCTGTACCTTCTCCCCCCTTCTCCTTCTCCCACTCCCCTGTT